GGTGGCCCTGGCCGCGGCCGCCGGGCCTCGGTTTCCCCATGTGGCGGAGAAAGGGCCCGGCCGCCCCCATCTAAACCGCCGGCTCTGTCATGGCGCGACCTGGACGCGTGCCAGGGACGTGCTCTGTAACCTTGGCTCACTGACTGTTTTCTCTCCGAGCCTCGGTTTCCTCTTCTGTAGAAAGGCCGCGGTGATCCCGCCGGCCTCATAGGAGCCATTCCTTCGGCGCACGTTTATTGAGCGCTTACTGTGTGCCAGGCCCTGCTCCGAGACCCGGGGGTGGGGGTGGCGGGGCACGAAGTCCCGGCCCTGGTGGCGATGACATGAGACAGACGAGCGCGCGCTCGAGCCAGAATCCCTGGCACGTCGGTAGGTGGTAAGGGCTATGGAGCAAATGAAGCAGCAGCGGGGAGGGCCAGGAAGGTGCGATTTTCGAACAGGGGAAGGTCCGAGAGGCCTCCTTAACCACAGAGAGGGCCTGAAGGTGAGAGAGGGGAGCCGGCAGGGATGGAGGCTGGCAGCTTACTCAAGGAGGCAGGAATAACAAGTGCAAAGGCCCTGAGGCAGCGAGCGAGCCTGGTACTGAGAAGCAGGGCAGGGAGGCAGGGCAGGCAACTTCATGCATTCACACAGGGGCCCTGCACTCAGAAGGGCCGGCGCTTGGGTTCGTGACCTGCTGTTGTGGCCTGGAAATTCCTCATCGTTTTCGATCGAGGGGGTCTCACAATGTTGTTCTATAGCTGGGCCATGCAAATTCTGTAGCTGGTGCCAGGGGCATTCCAGATGGTGCAGGGCCTTGGAGGCTGCTGGGAGGAGTTGGGCTTTTACTCCAAGGGAGGCAGGGAGGCTGGAGCCCTGGCCCCATCAGGGCCGGCCTAACTGGGATTTTGATAGGATCTCACTTGCTGTGGAGAACAGGCCCCAAAGAAGCTAGTGAAACAATGCCCAACTAATCCGGCAAGTGCTAAATACAGGCTCTTAATCACCACCATCACTACCATCATCAACTCTGCAGCTCGCCTCTGGTTATTTGGTACTTTTTTTGGGCCTTGGGTTTTCCCAGTCTGTAAAATGGAGGGTCAGGATCCCAGACACCTTTCCGGGGCCGATGAAAAGGCCAGACCAGTATGAGATGAAAAAGCAGAAAATAAGGCCTCTTCCTGCCCTCCCCCAAAGCCCTTCGAGGTAAACAGTACTTTAATACGATATCTTTGAAAATAAAAATTAATGCCCAAAATATTCGCGATGAGCAGGACGTCAGTGCGTTAAATAAAGGCAGCATCTGACGGGGCCAGAGATGAGTTAGGAAGACGTGGGTCCCCCTAGTCCCAATGCTGTGAGAAAAAAGGAACAAATGTTCAGGAAGCTTCTTCCACGTTCCTATCAGGTTCCACAAATGCAATCAGAGTCCCCGATGGGGGCGGCCTATAGAATTTTCAGGCGGAGCATGATGAAAATGCAGGCCTCTTGCCGAAAAATGATTAGGAATTTAGGCATTTCAGGATGCTGACAACAGAGCATGAAGCCGAGTGCCGGGTCCCGTGGGACGACATGAGCCACACGCCAGGCGCCCTTTCCCTTGGGAAGCCCCCTGGGGCTGAGCCTGCTCTGTGCAGGCACATCCCAATACTCGGGCATTTGGGGACCCAACACCCCCATTTTAGCAGACCCCAGATGTGGCTGGCAGGGTCAGAGCTGGATGCAGAGACCCCCAAGTCCGGTGGGGTCAGGGCTGGGCCTTCCAGCAGGTGGAGAGGCCCAGAGTTGTGTCCCAGACCATGAACAAAAACCAACCGATCCACCTGTGTTTTTCACTATGTACCAGGCTCTGCTTAATGCACTTTGACCTTAGAGGTGTCATGACATTGGAAAGATGGGGAAATGAAGACACCAAGAGGTTAAGGTCACCTGGTCAAAACCACCCAGCGAGACGATGGCAGGGCGAGGATGTGGAGCCGAGTACCCGGGCCTTTAGCCACCGTGCGTCACTGCCTCTCCAGGTGGGACGTGGAGGCGGGGCACGGTGGCATAGGCCGGAGGGGGCCCAGGAGGCTTGAGGAAGCAGAACCCCACATTCTGGACTGAGGGGTAGGCCTTTTACCCAGAGGGCACCAGGGAGCCATGGCAAGCTTTACAGCAGGGTTTCCCAGCCAGCCTCTGCACCCTTGCCGTGCCGGCCTGGATCGTTGTCTGTGAGGGCCCCTCCTGGGCACCCCGCGTGGTGCCAGGAGCACCCCCCCCTGCCCAGTGTTGACAAGCAGAAGTGTGGGCAGCCGCTGAATGTCCCCAGGGGCCAGATCGTCCCCAGCTGAGAAGCCCTGGAAGGCCGTGTGCTGGGTGGCCGAGCGGGGGACAGGGTGGGAGGCCGAGAGACGAGGTGGGGTGCCCATAGTAAGGCTGGAGGGGGGGGGGGGGGACAGGCTGGGCCGGGCCCTGCGCGGAGGAGTAGCAGGTGCGGGAAAGGCAGGGACAGTGTTCAGGACGGAACATTCTTGACTGTCTAATTAATCTGGAGGGATTGGGGCTTCCGAGGATCTTACAATGGGGGGCATCCTCCGGTCCCACCCATCCCCGCCTCTGCACCGGCATCCTGGTGTTTCCTCTGCTCCAGGGTGGGGGGGCCACGTCTGGGGGGGGCAGGTCGGAGCAGGGATCTATCTGTCTCGTGGATCCAACCGTCTGAGACCAGCCTCTCAGCCTGCTTACAAATGAGCGCCGGGCCCCGCGGCCTCCGGGGCAGAGCCAGGCACTGGCTGGTGCATGATGGATGGGCTGCAGGGCCATTAATCACAGGCGGGGGAGGAAACAGGTGGCCACCGCGGGCTCGGCCTTGGACCTCCCTCCGGTAGGGCTGGTGGAGCCGGGGCCTCCGCTGCCCAGCTCCGGGTTTGAGCCCTTGGCCCGCCCTAACCTGGCTACGTGACTTGGGACGGTGTGACTTTCCTACTTTGCACCCTCACCCCCCCCCCCACATGGAGCTGGTATTCATGCACTCCCTCAGTCAGTATCTACTGCACCTACTGTGGGCCAGGTGGGATTCTAAGTGGAGGTTTATGGCGCTGACCTGGGTGGGGGGGGAGATGGAAATCCCTCCCCTTGCAGAGCTAATAGGCTTTAAAAACTTGGCTCAAGCCTTGCGTTTCCTCTGCCCATAGCCCTCCAGAGCTCCCATCTCCCTGGGGTAAAAGCCGAGTCCTCCCCACGGCCCCCAAGGCCCTGCTCGAACCGTAGCATCCCCGACCTGCCCTGCCCTCCGCCCTCTCTCCCCCTCACTCCCTCTGCTCCGGCCACACGGACCCCAACACACCCGGCCCGGTCCTGCCCCCGGACCTTTGCATGGGCAACTTCCTCTGCCTGGGATACTCATCCCCAAATGCCACTTTGGCTCATTCTTTCCTTTCTTTCCAGCCTTGGCTTAAAGGTCACCTTCTCAATGAGGCCTCATTGTGACTTCCCTATTTAATTCTGGCAGGGCTGGGACTAGGACAAGTGCACTTTTGAGTGAGGCACTTTCTTCAGGCATAACATTTAAGGGGGCACCAAAAATCTCAGTCTACACGCTAAACACGATTTTCATGCAACTTTTTTTTTTTTTTTTTTTATTGTGGTAAAAGATACGTAAAATTTACCACGGGAGACATTTAATCCATTCGCCACGTTGTACAATGATCACCTTTAGTTCCGGAACATTCTGTCACTTCAAAAAAGAAGCCCTATGCCCATCAGCAGTCACTCCCCATCCCCATGCCTCAGCCCCCTGTCCCCACGAACCCCCTTCCTGGCGGTGGATGAGACTGTTCTGGACGTTTCACACATGTGGACTCACGCCCCGTGTGGCCTCTCGTGTCTGGTTCCCTCCCTGGGTGTCCTGTGTTCAGGGTTCGTCCTCGGGGTGGCGGGTGCGGGCGCCTCGCTCCTGTCTGTGGCCGAGGGCCGTGTCCCTGCCTGGACAGACCACGTGCTTGCATCCGTGTGTCCATTGATGGACACTCGGGGTGATTCCACTTTTTGGCTGTTGTCAGTCCCGCTGTTGTGCACGCTTGTGCGTGAGTCTTCACGCGGATGACTAATTTCCTTTCTCTCGGATGGATCCCCAGAAGTGGAACTGCTGGGTCACCATGGTAATTCTACGTTTCATTTCCGAGGAGCCGCTCAACTGTTTCCCCCGCGGCGCTGCCCCGTGTCACGTCCCCCCCGCGTCCCTCCCCGCCAGCCGTGCGCGAGGCTGTCGATTTCTCCACGTCGCCGCCAACACTCGCTGTTGTCCCTTTTGGAAAAAAGAAAACTCAATAACCATTCTGGTGGGTGAAAAGCGGTATCTCCATGCAGTTTTGATTTGCATAAGGCAATATTTGAACAAACCGAAATTAATGAAAAACTTTCCGTGACGGGCAACATTTCGAAATTTTCGTAAGAACGTGATCCCGTCCTGCACGCGCTGCCCGCCGCACCTGTTCCCCCCGCCCCTTGCCAGTCCTGTGGCAGCGTGCCCTTGCTCCCGGGCCCCCTTCCCCGAACCGGTAACAGCTCAACTTTTTCTCCCAGCTGGAGGACTCCTCGCTGTTGGACACAGGAAGCGTGTGACGCGTTGCTTTTGTCGACTCTCTAGAATTAACCACCGGATGTCAGCTCCCGGAGGCAGGGGTTTTTGTCTGTCTCCTTCACTGCTGGATCCCCAGCGCCTAGAACGGTGCCTGCCTCGCCCTAAGTGCTGGACAAATGGTGAACGGATGAATGAACAAAGCAGCCAACGGATGGACGGACGGGTTGGAAGGATCCCCCCAAGACAGACCCGGAAAAGCACTTTGTACCCGGTGCTGGCACAGGCCACCTGGATTCAAGGTGCTCGGTCTGCTGGGATCCTCCGATTGGCCGGGCTTGGGTCACATGACATGCGCTGGCTGGCAGGCCTTCTCTGGCCTCTTCTTTCCCACCAGGAAAAACAAACCAACGCTGAAATCAGTCTGTATTATATCACCCTGCTTTATTATTGTTTTAAGCGGCGCGTATGGCGCTGGAAAGATCACGTTGAGCTATGGCCGTCTGTGTTGTCCTTCAGCGCCGTCCTATCTTATTTTCCGTGGCGTCCCGGCACAGAGCTGGGGCCCGGGGTCCGGCAAAAAGTATTTCAGGTATTTCTGGAATGAACGAATGGCGTGGTAATTATTTCCTCCATGTTGCAGGTGAGGCTCTGGAAGGCGAGGACAGGTTCTGTTACTTACGTATCTGCCTTCTTCATCCCCAGAGCTCAGCCACTCCACAAGCATTTAGTAGGCGCCCCCTGTGTGTGTCTGACCCTGGTCTACATCCTAGGGCTACAGTGACCCACTCAGACCCTGACCTCACAGTCCAGCAGGGGAGCGAGACGCGAATTATGTGACAAACACAGATAGGCTGTTATGATCCACGAGTGACCTCACTGGGCCCAGCTTCACAAATGTACCCAGAATCAAGCGGTCCCCGAATTTGTCCCCCATTCAGGAGCCTCCTGAGGCGGCCCTGTGTCATTTGAAATGGCCGTCCCCCTCTCTGAGCCTTCTGTCTGGCCCCACCAGACCATCCAAGCCCACCTGTCCTCCAGGCCCCGCTCCTGGTCTCAGCTGTCTCTCCGGGGAGCCTGGTTCCTTTGGAACGGGAGTGATATTTGGGATCCAAGAACAGGCTGCCGGGATGTGTTCAGACTTCTGGGATTTGCTGTTCCCAGACCCTTCCAGTGAGCGAAACACACACACACACACACACACACACACACACACACACACACTAATATTCATGTGTGTGCATCTAAATCTATAATCTGTCAATCTATTGACTGACATCCATTGAGCTCATGTATTATCTACCCGTGTGTTTCTGCATCATCTATCTAGCTGTCTGTCTCTCTTGTTATCTATGATCTATTGGTCGTCTGTCTCTCGGCTGTGTGTCTGTCTTACCTCTCAGCTGTCTCTCTTGGGCACTGTGAGTCCCCCTGACCCCTCCGATCCCATTCCGGCACCCCAGGATTTATTCCTTCCCTCTGCCCATAGTTTGTCTCCTTCTCCGGCAGGGGAACCAGGTTCAGGGGGAGAGTTTTGTTTTGTTTTGTTTTTTTGCCTGGTTCAGGGGGAGAGTTTTGAAGACAGAGATGAGGTGGTGTCCCTCCCTGGGAAAGAGCCTCCCTGGGCTTCCTAACACATTTAAATATTTTTTTTTTAGTTTATTTAAACTTAAAAAGAGAGAGAGAGAGAGAGTGAAAGCATGAGTGGGGAAGGAGCAGAGAAAGGGCAGAGAGACAGAATCTCAAGCAGGCTCATCGTCAGCACAGAGCCCGACGCGGGGCTCGAACCCACAAACCGCGAGATCATGGCCTGAGCCCAAGCCCAAGCCCAAGTCCGTGACCTGGACCCAGCCCAGTCCAACTGCGCCACCCGGGCGCCCCTCCCTAACACCCTTATTACTTCTTTTTTCTTTGTACAAAATAACTAGGATTTTATTGCGAGATTCCCATAGGTGGAAAACGAAATTGAATATTTATGCCGTGCCTTTCATTGTACTATGTATTTCAATTGCCTGTTTAGTGAAAAATAAAGAAACCTATAACTTTTGGCTTAAATTTGTAAGAATCTGGAACATTGCATGACTTTGTGGGTTGTCCTTGTGCAGGGGCCGAATCTTCTCTGTACCGTCCCAACTTAAGTGTATATGCTGAGGAAGCGAGTGCCCTGATGTAGTGTCCATGAGACCCAAAGTCCTCCCCGTGGCCCCCAAGGCCTAGCATAACCTGCCCCGTCCCCTCCCTGCCCTCCCCTCCTCCCTCTCTCCCCCTCATTTGGTCTGCTCCAGCTCGGTTCCTCCAACACGCCAGACCCGGTCCTGCCCCAGGGCCTTTGCACAGGCCGTGCCCCCTGCCTGGGAGGCTCTCCCTCTGGAACTCTCCTGGCCCATCCCTTCCTGCAGGTCTCAGCTCAGGAATCACTCCCTCCCACAGGTGGCCTTGGGCCTCCCTAAAATAGCCCCATGTCCATTCCCTCACCTTCCCCGTTTTTCTTTATAGGAACACCTCTGCCTTTATATTTTCCTTTATGTGTTTATTGTCTCCACTAGAAAGTCGGCTCCACAAGGCCGGGATGTAGGCTCTTACTCCCTGCACAGAGCTTGCCACACAGTAGGTGCTCAGTAAATCCTACTTGCTGTGAAGGTGAAGGTTGTTTTCCTCAGGACTGAGCTGCCCAGGCAAAGCAGGACGCAGCTTGGTCAGCCCGGGGCTGCCGTAACCAGACAGCACACGGTTGGGCCGCTTACGAACCCTAACCCCTATTTCTCACAGTTCCGAGGCTGGGAAGTCCAAGATCAAGGTGCTGGCAGATGAGGTCTGGTGAGAGCTCTCTCCCCGGCTTGCAAACAGCTGCTGGCCGGCTGTGTCCTCCGGGGATGGGGGCGGGGGGTGGGGGGGGTGGGGGGCGCTTTCCTCCAGGCCTGCAGCTCCCCTTATCACAAGGCCACCAAGTGCTCTCAGATCGGGCCCTCACTCACCTGATTACCTCCTCCAAGCCCCACCTCCAGATGCACCCACACTGGGGTCAGGGCCGCCCCACAGGAACTGGGGGGACACGATTCGGCCCACGGTATAGTTCTACTGGAACACGTGGCCTGTTCGTTCCTGGAGCACGTGGCCTGTGCGGAGCCCTGGAGCCCCAGGAAGCGCAGACAGCGGCCTTGAAAGCCACAGCTCGGAGGCGCAGGAGGCGGGCATTTATCTGATTACCACTCTAATGAGGCCCTTCCCTGCCAGGGCGATTCTGCCTCCAGGGGACGTTTGGCAACATCAGGGGACATCTGCGGCTGTCACACCGGGACACTGCTCCCGGTCTGGAATGGGTGGGGGCCAGGGATGCCACACAGACAGTGACCTCCGGATGTCGGCCGGCCCGTGCTGGGGCGGGAGAGCTTTGCGGTCTCTGATAAGAGCCAAATGGCAAATTGAGAGAAGAGGGGTGGGGGGTTTCTTTCCAGGAGAGCTTTTAACAATGGAACTGACCTTGGCTGGGGGCTGGGAGGTCAGAGGGCTTCCCCCAAAGTGAAGGGGGTGGGGGTTACCTAGGTGACAAGTGCTCAGGTGGAGAAGACAGCTTGTGCCAAGGCCCGGAGGCAGCGGGAGAAGCTGGAGGGGAGGGGACGAGGCAGGGAGAGGGAGGGGACAGACCACCCAGGTGCTTGGACTCCACCTTCATCTGGGGCTGCTGGGGAGCCACGGAAGGTTTTCAGGTATCACAAGAGGGCAACACGGTCCCATTTGGCTTCAGAGACCTCCCTCTGGCTCCTTCCAGTCAGCAGGATGCAGGGTGGCCTCCTGACTTTTGTGGGTTCCTTCCTCCACGAACAACACTAAAGAGTATATTTTATGATGGCGTTGGTATACAGACTGATATAATCCAGGGTGGAAATACGATGTTATTCTAGAGGGAATGAAAACACTTTCACAGGCCCCTAAACTGTCGTCAGCCCTGGGCACTGCTTAGTGCGCATGCTGGCCGGGCAGGAAAAGCGACCCGGAGAGCAGAGAGGCGCTGGACCGGGGTGGGGGCTTGGCGAGGAGGGAAGGGGCTGGGTCTGAAGGAGATTCAGATCACCACTGACCGGGCTACCGGGGTGGGTTGGGGGGGGGGGGGAGGCGGCAGGGACGGACGGCAGAGCCATCCTGGAAGCCAGCCGGCCTGGCAGACGGTGCCGGGGGCACGGGCAAATCCGGCTGGCGAACTCAGTGAAACGCCCTCAAAAGTTAGCCAAGGAGGGGAAAATTAGACACGCAGGACCTCATGGAAATTAAGCGCCATCGAGAGAATAAAAGACAA